CAGTGACAGGACGAGGGGTAATGGTTTTAAACTAAAACAGGGTAGGTTTAGGCTGGATATAAGGAAGAAATTCTTTACAATGAGGGTGGTGGATATAAGGAAGAAGTTGCCCAGAGAGGTAGTGGAGGCCCCATCCCTCGAAACATTCAAGACCAGGTTGGACAGGGCTCTGAGCAACCTCATCTAGTTAGCGGTGTCCCTGCTCACTGCAGGGGGGTTGGACTAGATGACGTCTAGGGGTCCCTTCCGACCCAAAACTTTCTATGATTCTATGAACTCTGAGGGGTGGAAAATGCACTGGTGAAGACTAGATAATTGCAGGTGCTCTTTGCACTTACTTCTACAGCCAGCATGTATACACACAAGTGAACTGACCACTTGCACCTTTTACCTAAGTAAAGGATATCTAAAAGAGAACACATGCATGTGTAATTTTGTTTACACAAATGCCTTGCTTTAGTTGATGTATTTTAGACCTCATGTTACCATTACATTTTCCTAATAATTGTGATAGCTGTGTCAATATCAATTCCACGTGGGCAAAAATTTCACACACTAGTGAGGTGCATCAAGACCTTCCGAAATTTTTTCCCGAAGAACCTGAGTAATGACCATGGTAATACTTGGCTCGAAAGACAAACAAATAACAAAGAGGACATGCTCCATGTGGGCAGCATCCCCTACAATCGAGAAAGTAGTATGACAAATCCATAGAAGTTTCTTTCAATATTACTGCAGAGAGCAACAAAATTATCCTCCTGTATTAAACTTCAGAAGACAGTGGTTCATAAACTAACTGTGAAATTACTAGCTCTTAAGTAATACGTAGTCAAGGTAGACATTTGCTTGGGAACTGTTCTGCACTAATAAGACCCAGAAAAATACCAGGTGAATTCATTTTAAACCAGTAACGTAATACAGGGGTTTGGATAAGGTTGCTGCCTCTCTCAGGTCCTGACCCCAAACTCAGTCTACATATCTACAGTAACGATATCATGGCCTCTACTACAAACACCCATTTAATCAGCTTTATTTCCGGCAGAATTATACAGGTAAAAAATGTGTTGTGTACAAAGATCTCATACCTTTTATACCTGCTGGAAACCATCCTGGAGGAGTCCTAAAAGAAACAGAAAGGAAAAACTAATTAACATTTTCTTGTGTTTGTACTTTCAAAATACTTTATCACTCCATAGAAAATGAAGCCTGCAGTCAAGAGCAGGAGGCCCACGCCTCAAACAGCTGCTGTACAACTCAGGTTTGCACTATTTTGCTGTCAGGAACAGACAGGATACCAGGATTACTGCTTCTGAACATCAGCTCAGAACCCTGAGCTGATGTTCAGAACGACAGCTTCTGGTTGCATTTTAAAACTGGATGCTCTTACTCCATCCCCCAGCATCCAGAACATGCAGCTTATCAAACACAGTACACACCCTGCCACCAACACACCTCCACTGCCACTACTAATACAGTCATGGCAACCACAGCTCCGCTCTTCACCACGCTAACCCAGTTGCTGCGACCTGGCTCACCTCAGTTTCTCTCGGGCTAACTGACATGGTCTTCCCCGGCATCTGCTGCTAAGCAGGCAGGCTACAAGTCTGTACGCAGATGTTTCGTGCACTCAGACTTGTCAAGCTACGGTAAGTCAATATTTAGATCATTGCTTTCTAAGCACCTGCAGAGGATTAATGCGTTTTGACTACAAACTTAAAGAATACTCTGCATCTCCTATGACTGCTATTTGGAAACGATACTAACAACTGAGATAGCGACAAACAGAACACATTTTAAGTAAGAGTACAAATTTTAAATATGAGTTCAACAGTGCAAGAGCTGTACATCTGGCCTCTCAAAGATACACACATGGATTACTTGCAGACTACAAGTCTTGCATTTTTTCTATCTTAAGGTAAAGAATTTCATTACTTTTCAGATTCCCACAAGGCAGTAAGATGTTTTTACTACGATTATGTTTTGTTGGGGGCTTTTAGTTTGTGGGTTTTTTTTTTTAATTTGAAAAAAATCCATTACACTTTTATTCTGGCTCTGTGAAGATGGAAAAAAGAACAGTGGGGAAAAGGACTCATTTACTGTTGCACAATTCCAAAAAAACATTGACGAATTATGTACAAATAAGAAAACCTGAAAGAATATAATAATTAAAATAATATAAAAAATAAAAACATAAAAATAAAATTAACATACTAATGCTATGCTTGTAGCTTCCCAATTCCAGTATGATCACATAGAAAAATTAAGACTTGTTTCAACTGGTAAATGATGGCTCAGATTAGACAGAGTAAGTCCACAAATATTTTTTAGGATGTTGTAAGAACACCACGAACCAATTATTTTATTAGTCACAGACAAACCTCCCCCCAGCATCAGCAAATATTAAGTAAAAAGTCAAGAAAGAGTATTTAAGGAGTTAATAAACTGCACAATTGCCTTTACTGGAAAAAATAATGGCAAAGTATGAAATTCTGTCCGTTTATGACACTGAATGCAGACGAAAGAATAAATGAGTTCTCAAAACAAGATGCAATAGAAATTCCATCCACTCTGAAAATCCTACAAATCATTACACTACCTTCACTGATCAGTGCATTAATGTCCTTGTAAGTAAACAAATAAGTTAACATTATTTTCAATATTAGAAAATAAAGTTGACAAAAATATTTGTATTACAGAAACAAAACTTGATCTTAAAGTGCATTTTATTTTATGAAGCATTTTCAACTTCTGCAATATGTGCTACACTTTCCCTGATATAAGCAGAAGAACAATATTCAACGAAGTTAAGTCATGGGAATTATTTAAAGAAACCCACAAAGTGGTGTACTTCTAACACTGGTAACTATTTTATCATTGATGACAGCATCTGAAAAGTAGCAATCCACAGCTATGAAACAGCAATCTAACTTCACCTCTAAAAGGGCAAGGAAACAGAATTTTAAATGGTACCGATGCTATTTTTAAAGTTTACTAAGGGTATGTTATCTTTGAAAGGTCATGGCAGTAGGAGGAGGTTTCTGAGGAATGGAAGGGAGTCAATGTCATTCCTGCCTTCAAGAAGAAAGATCAGGGAACTACAGGCCAGTCCCTACCTCAGTCCCTGAGGAGGTGATGGAACAAATCCTGAAGCACAAAAAAGTGGTATCACCATGGATACATGAAGGGGAAATCATGTCTGACTGACCTGACAGCCTTCTACAATGAGGTGACTGGCTCAGTGGATGAAGGGAGAGCAGATGATGTTTATCTCGACTTTAGCAAGGCTTTCAACACCTTCCCATATAACATGTACAAGCAAACTGCTGACATGCAGATCAGGTAAGTAGACTGTGAGAGGCAATGAAAATTGACTGGACTACCGGTCTCAAAGGGTTATAAACAGCAGCATGAAGTCCAGCTGGCCACCAGTCATGAGCAGTGGTTGATACAGGGGCCAGTACTGCATAACGTCTTCATTAATGACCCAAACGGTGGGACAAAGTGCACCCTCAGCAAATGTGCAGACTACACAAAACTTGAATGAGCAGTTAATAATACATCAGACAGTGCTGCCATGCAGAGGTCACTGACAGGCTGGAAACAGGCTAACAGAGACCTCACGAAGTTCAAAAAAAGTGAAATGCAATGTCTTGCACCGGGGGAGAGATAATACCAAGCACCAGTACATGCTGTGGACCGGCTGGAAATCTGCTGTGCAGAAAAGGACGTGCGGGTCCTGGTGGGCACCAAGCTGAACATGAGCCATCAGTGTGCCCTTGCAGCAAAGATGGTCAATGGCATGCTCAGGATGTGCTGCCAGCAGGTCGAGGGAGGTGATCCTTCCCTTCTGTTCAGCCCTGGTGAGACCATAGCTGGAGTGCTGGGTCAAGTTTTGGGCTTCTCGGGATGAAAAAAACATACTGAAGAGACTCCAGCAAAGGGCCACACAGATCATTAAAGGTTTGGACATATGAGGAGAAGCTGAGAGTTCTAGGAATGTTCAGCTTCGAGAAGCGAATGCTCAGGAGGTATCTTGCCAAGGTGTACAGACACCTGATGGGGTAAAGAAGACGGAGCCGTACTCCACTGTAGCCAGAGAAAAGATGAGAGGCTATGGACAGAAACAGAAATATGTGAAATTCAACTTAAATATAAGAAAATACTTTCTTGCTGTGAGATTAAACACTGGAACAGGTTGCCTAGAGAGGTTATGGAGTTTCTATCCATGGAGATACTAAAAGTCCAACTGGTGACAGTCCTGAACAATTTGCTCTAGTTGACCCTGCTTTGTCCACAGGGGTTGGAGTAAAGACTTCCTGAGATTCCCTCCAGCTTTAGTGACTCTGTGCTTCTGCTCTACTCGTCTTGTGTGTTCCATCTGCATTCTCTCAGCTTAGTGAGTTTAAGTGAACACACACCTAACATCTAGCAGCTTCAGACGATTTCATTCTGCCCTCTAATATTGTTATCTAGGGACTTGCCTATCTGAACAGAGGACTCTAACAGCCTGATTTTTAGCTTTAAGACAATCAGAAATAACTGACAAGGTGATTTGACTTATGTATGTGAAGAAATTCAAGTAGTTTCACCTAATACATTAAGACACATGTTCACTGTATATGAAAACTGAAATGCCGATTCAGTAAAAGCAGTCACAGCTCTTGGTGGTGATGGTCTCAGAAACATCCTGATTGTCCCATTAGCCACAGAAAAGTGATTCAATTCTCCTTTTAAGCTTGGATGAAGAAAGAGAGACACATAGCTGACTGGGTCACAATTTTGCCCAACTGTCTGCAAATACAAATCTTGCCAATAAAGTAACAACTCTGGGCTCTAAGCTTCCTCAGCTCTTGTTTTTTACATTACTTCTTTTTTAGGAAGATGATGAAGCCTTGAGGTTATGCCCATGCTTCCTGATGAACATAAGATTCTGCTTACAGTGAAAGGCAGAATTCACGATAAAGGGAGCATTTGCAGGTGACACTGCAGTCTAATGAAGCACACACATCCCTGTACAAAGAAATCTCTGGATCCTGGACGCTTCTTTTATACGGTAGACGCCAAAGGGATGCAATGTATGCATTATATACCCTCAAATTTGCTAAGACCTTCTGATATAGCAAATGCAAATATAAGCTGTAAAGCAATGTATATACATAGATTTGTACATTTACCTCAACAGGAGACTTCTAAAAGTTTGTCAGTACCATTCAGAAAAGCCAGTTCTTCAAAAAAAGAAAGCTGGGAAAGCAAACAATGCACAGGAACAAAATACATGGCAAATACTCTCATTTGCGACAAATGACAGCTGTTAAAACTAAAAATAAACAATTAACAAGCCCTTTGTAACAGATGTTTCTACAGCAAGTATTAGTGGTTTTTATTTTTGTATTTAAAACTAACTACGAACAAAAAGTTAAAAATACTCACCTGATGCATAAAAACAATTTCCTCTGATAACCAAATTAATACCGCAGATTTGGTAAATTGTTACTTTTATTATTTTGGAATCACTAATGCAAATGCAAATCAATCATTCTTTAAGGTGATGATGCAGCCACCAGGAAATGCATTGTTTCTCTCTGTTCTCATGTTATGAAATTTATTTTGTGTGTGTTAGTTATCCAAAAATTGCTGGGAATGGGAATATATGTAGTTATACTATAAACACCATTATGTGTCTATTAATCAAAAATGAACCCAAGCACTCAAACTATTCAAAATCTCTTAAAATAAGGCAAACATCACTTATAATTTAAGATCTTGTCTCCTCCACCACTTCTGGAGAAGAGAAGGAAGATTTCTGTTCTGCAAAGAATTAACTTAAAATGAGATGATCAGGCATGTATATAAATATTAATTTACAAATCTCACTTATGTTCTTTAATATTTTTAAACCTAGAGTTTTAACTCATGTTTAAAATACATAGTAATTACTGCAAAAATGATTGATTGTTTATGAGCGATGAAGAGGTCAGTTTACTTAAACGTCTCCCTTTAAAAAAGGAATTCTATTTATTGTCTGTGGAAATCCTGAACAGAAAAGCAATCAGTAATGAAACAATCCATAGCAATTATGTTAATGGTTTCCTTCACACTGGTGAAAAACCGTTGCTGCCA